GTGAATTCAATTTACACAAGTGGCAAATCGCAACGTTGAAATTCAGCCAGGTCCTTTCGGTTGGGAAACGATGAAATGTTCGGCCTCAGAATGGAGATACGCACCTTCGTCTGCGAACGATAATACGACCGAAGTTTTCTCAGTGTGTCCCAGCTCCGCTCATCCAGGCATCAAATTCAAACACATTACCGAAGCGAACTTTAAAATATGCAAGCTCCATACGCATCATAACTCGGGGTGGAGGAAGGGCTCCCTCTTGCTGCCATGCTAAGGAAGAACGCCGTATGAGCCTTCAGGCGTTGCCAAATTTCCTCTGACAAATCGCTAATTTTCAGGAAATTTTCGAACATTTTCCGGCCAATTTCTCAGATTATTTTCTTTGTAATTTGTTCTAAAGTGTCTGAAAGTTTCAAGGAAAAATATTCATAATTTTTCCTCAAAAATAAACATTCTAGCCAAGGAAATTTGGCAACTCTCGAATGTTCATACGACTTTCTTCCTTAGCACGGCAGCTTGGCTCCCTCGCGTTTCCTTTTAGCCTCTCGTGTAGTAATGAACCCACCACGTTCACCCCAATAAACTCGACGTCGAATGCGAACACCTTCAGTGCCGTGTCGTGCTCTCGGTGAAACGATCGATTTCCCGTATAAACCTATAGAAAACGATCGATCATGAAGGTTGCCTTCAATAATCGATGCCTCACCATAGCTTCGAACGGGGAAGTATCGATGGTCGACTATTCAAACTCCGCCGAAAATCGGGCCCCGACATCACCCTTGAGCCCCCGATCGCGGCGGATAAATTCGGTGTTTTATTGAAAGGAAAAGCTCATTTCTCGGCGCCCGTCTCCGGGAATCGGCACGTATCGCACAACGAGCCTCATTCCGTTAATAAGAGGATCAGGCTCGTCGAGGGGTTTCGTAAGTGGGGGAAGGAAGGGGGCGGGGGGTTAAGCCTTTTCGAGTGTAAGCTCATCTCGCGCCACTTCAACTTCCCGTAGCGCGTTGCGTGCGGCGGTGCCAAGGTGACGTAAGACGGTCGGCGCACACTGGATCTAGTCAATCAGAGAGGTCGGACATGAAAATTTTTAACTAATTCTGCAAATTTTGATGTTTACATCGTCACATTTTAAACTCAATAGTGTGTTTCTTGGAGAAAATTTCACGAGGAAACCAATGGAACCACTTTTAGAACCTCGAAATTTTGTATAATAGGAGTTATAAGCGTTCAAAGTTTCCAAATTTCGTCCGACCTCTCCCATCGACTCGATCCATTGTGCGGCGTGCCGAGGGATAACGCCTCACAAACCTCCGGGTGTTGCCGCATTCTCCTCGATATAAAACACGAATTTTCCGGAGAGCTCGAAGAACTTTTCCTCTCGAATTTCCGCAAAATTTTGCTCGCAATCCGATCTGAAGTATCTGAAAATTTCTAGGGAAAGTATTCGTAACTTTTTTTTTAAAAATACATTTATTATCAGGGGAGATTTGGCAACGTTCGGATGTCCTCACGGCGTTATTATCCGGGAGCAAGGCGCTTTGAGGGATATCCGGCAGGCGCGGTCCTGAATCAATTGGGGCGTATTAGGATCGGCTCCCGAAATCGCGCGGGCGACACTGTAGCCCAGATCCCTCCCTGGGGGAGGGGGTGGAAAGGGGGGGGGGTTGTCATTCCTGACGCGCCGCCGAGGGTCGCGTCGGGAGTGCGGATCCCGAAGGGCTGTCATACAGTGGATCAAACGGACGAAGTGCACCTCGTCCGGCGAAAACCGCCTACCTCCGTCGGGGACCCTTGCGGAGGTGTGCGGTTTTCGCGCATCGATGGACGGTGTATCAGTGGCTAAAAAACGGCCTGATCGAGAGGCTCTATCGGTGATTGGTCTGTCCAATTTTTGGGGGATGGGGAGGAAAGGGCGGGCGCTCGGACCTCGAACTGAGCGTTTTCCCGGAGAGCTTCGGTGATAGGTTCGGCTTAAGGGCTCGGGGGTGGAGAACAGTTGGATAAAATTTGAAATTTGTCCTCTTTTTCTACTTCGCGTCGTCGGTCGCTTTGAACTTGGCTCGATCACGCTCAAAAAATGACTGGAAGTTTAAAGAACATGTTCGCAGAATTTCAGACTTACTCAAATTCTTCCCCTCTTCGTTCGTTTTCCTGTAAAATCATGCAAAACATATATTTCTTCACTTTAAAAAGAAGAAGAAAAATAATTACCCAACAGTTTAGTTTTAAGACCTCCGCATCGCTCGGCCTAGCCTAACCCTCCCTCCTTCTCACCAACGCAACTCCAGACCCCTAACTGCATTTTCAAGCTTAATTGAACTGTGCACTCGTAGATCTCATGTACATAACTTCTTTTGATTTCATTCATTCGTACATTCTTCCTTGCATTGTGGATGTACCTTGCTGAAATTAATTAAATATTGAGCTAAATTCTCTGTTCAAAATTTTTCTCATTTTTTTTCTCCCTAGAACGTCGAGGTTGAGTTGCTGAAAGTGTATCACGGTTTTATCATGATTCTTTGTAGTCTCACCGATACGATCTGAAGAATCCGTTCAAATATGAAGCCAACATTTCTGGCGTACTAAGGAAAAACGCCTTATGAACATTCAAGAGTTGCCAAATTTTCTTCTATAAAATGTTTATTTTTGAAGGCAGCCATGAATATTTCAGGAACTTTAGGTGAAATTGCGAACAAAATTATCTGAAAAATTGGAGGAAAATTATTCACAAATTTCCCCGAAAATTTGTGTTTTACCGAAGGAAATTTGGCAACGCCTGAAGGCTCATACGGCGTTTTCAGCACGGCAGATTTCAAGTGTACTGGACTCGAAGGGAAAGCAGGCTCGCGCTCGGATACCGCGTGGCCGAGTTCCAGGTCGCGCCCCATGTACGTCGGGGGGTGGTGGAAGGGTGGAGGCGGGTAGGGGTGCCGAGCAGTGATTTGAGGCGTCGCGACAGTCACCCTGGTGGGGGAGGGTTGGCGGCTNGGGGGGGGGGTGCGGGGTTAAGGGCTCTCGCCCGCCGGAGCAGGAAACCGGGGATGAAAAAAGGGGGCGGCGGGCGGTGGCGACACGAGCGGACCCAGCGCAAATACAGCCAATAATTATCGAGTTATCGTCAGTCGGCGAGAAAATCAATTTCGCCACCCCCGGAGCTGGAGGTGCCCGCAAGGTGCGCTAGGGATCCCGACTAGGTGAACAGGAAAATCCACCGATAACCCAGCTCGGGAGGTTTTACGTCACAGCTCTCGACCCCGAATCCCTACCCCGCCCTCCTACCCCCGCCTCTCCCTATTGAGCTCTCAACAGTGTTGTTAGCAATCTAGGTTATATTCAAATATCTGGGAATGTTTGAAAATTTGGCAAATTTGTGAATGGGGGCCCACCAGAGCAAGAGACCGGGGGATGAAAAAGGGGGCAGGCGGGCGCTGATTATTGAAATTGATAGACAAAGCGATAGAGGAAGAAAACGACGGGAAAATGGAGCGATCCTATCGGTTAAAGCGGGTGGTTCCTGTAGGCTGAGAGAGAAAATGAAGGACTAACTATCGCGTCTCTCGTGGGTTGCCGTTAGTTTGTCTATTACTTACCACCTTTGTCCATTGAAACCATCCGTTTCCACCAGTAGGATCCTTCCATATCCTTTTTGTCTTATTTGACGATAGCTTTGTCTATCAATTTCAACAATCAGTCCGCAAGGCACAATCCAGGCGGGAAACGATACGAGCAGATAATGCAGAGAAAGTATAATCCTCTAGTTCACTCCTTTTGCAGTTTCGATGATCAAACATAAATTTACAAAATCAATGAGGTTTCTCCTAGCACTTAAACAGCCATTTAATCTTCGGCGATACCGCTCCTCAAAAAGCACGGTGATTGACGGCATGCAGCGTGAAATTGTTCACAGTCCAAGCTCTGCAATTCCTAAAATCAAAATTTCAGAAATTTCAAGGCTAGTTTTTCCGTCGCAGCCAAGAAGCCTCCTACCCTCGAATAAACCCGGGAACAAACGCGAAGAGGAGGAAGGGACATCCCTGCGCGCGGTGGCAGTGCTGCACTCTATCGAGCTCCGACGTTGCACCACCACCCCATCGAGCGGATCGCGGGCCGTGAGATGTGACGAGCGTCGGGACAGGGACGCGGCTCCCCGCTCCCATGATTCCAGATTTTCATCCCTTCGCCCCGTCGTCTGGGTGACGTTGACGCGTCTACCCCCTCCTCCTCATCATTCCTCCGTGCGCTAATTCCTGTCGCCGTCTGCGAATGAGTCTAGTCCGCGCTCTATCCTCTCGACGCCCCCCTCCCCCCACCACTCGGCGCTCTGTCGGCCCTGTATGGCTCCCACCCTTTCTGCTCATCCCGTCCTCTGCCCTCGCCACCCCCGTGACCGCCATTCGCACGTTCGACCTGGTGCATCTGATTGCAAATCAATCCCGTAGCGCTCGTGCGGAAAGACCTTCATGGCCGAGGAAAAAGATGTTTTCACTTAAAGGGGGGAGGGGGGTGCATCCGACTTCGCTAACAAAATAGCTCTCTTGTTTGTTGCATTTTAGTCAACGATGGCAAAATCGCCGCGGAGGTCTACTTTTAGAGTACGACCAAAACACCCCTGTCTATTGACTGGATACCAAGTGGTACGCGCAGTGGAAGCGTCCTGGGCCCACTATCTATTGGACGGAATTAGGGTCGGGGGCCATTATGAGACTCTAAAATAGATATAATTACATTCGATTAAAACCAAGAAGCGGACGACGTAGCGCTCTCTCGAAATCACTCATAAGTGTTACTGAGCCCCCGTTGCTCCTTCATTTCGACGTGTAGGCAAAAGGAGCGCCTGCTCGTTAAAATAGTCGCATCCTTGGGGTGTCACGCTATGTGTCGCGCTTCTCCAGGCCCAGTGAGCTAGCCATATTCTGTTTAGACTATAGTCTTTTGTAAGTTTTGTGTGTTTATCATCTCGTAGCAATTTCTTATACGTGATTTTGTTTGTTTTGTTTCAGTCGGTGGACTCGAAAAAGTCGTGCGTTTCGAAGGAGGAGAAGGAGCTAGTGAAAAAAGCCCGGTTCGACGATACAAGTACAAACGCTCTGGTCATGTATGATGCGCTTAGTTATTATAGTTGGTATGCTAGAAGCTTGTCAGCCTTCCGGCCTTGGTCAACCTTATCCCAATTACCATCTCCGAAAGATGTAAAACAACAAAATTTACTCAAAGAAAGGTAACTTCACTACTTTTTTTTCATTTTCTTCTTACTCTTGCACTCTGAATGATAACTAAGGGGTCCGAACCCTTGCTGCTCCGCGGCGTAACCCCCTAATGTTAGCCTAAATTAGAATTATCAAGAAAGTTTGAAGAAATGCAATCCGGCAAAAAAGTTGAAAGCACGCTGCTTGATCTTGAGAAGAAAATTGCTATTTTTTTATCCTTATTGAAAAATGTATTCACTTTTGCAAAAGGATCTCATATAAGGCTCTCGTTATATCCAAGTGAAGTGGATTATGTATTATCCCTGTCTTACTCTTTATCACAGGAATTAATTTAATTAACTTAATTTTCTGTTTAAAAGTCATTTCGTCATTTTCATTGCCCCTTTTGGAGTTGGAATCGTCCGAGAATACCCGTATAACTTCCTCTAGGCTCCTCAGTTAATAGAGAAAAAACATTACAGATGAAATAAAGCTACATAAAGCATCTTGTGAGATCATTCCAAAAGATAAACTCGGAATTTTAATAATGCACGGAGCGTCAAACAATGAAAGAATTTTCGAAGTTGGGTTCGAACCCAACATGCAACTATTTGAACCCCGCAGTGGGCCGGGTTGCATACGCTCGATTTTGCGGGCGAAATCTGAGATTTGCTACAGCTTTCACGGAAGGGCACAGGCGCAACCAGTGTTTTCCTCGAGTGTGAGAGCCAACTGAGAGCCATTCAAATATACTTAATCAACGTAATTTAGATGCAATCATGGCTATTTTAGAGTCATTTTTTGCTTCAAACTGTCCAGTTGCGTTTTTCATCTTCTCAGCCAAATTAATCCGTTTTTCTTATTTCTAATTTTTAATATTTTTCCTCTTCTTTTCAGTGTTCCTGCGTACCTGAGTCATGGACCCCCTATATTATTAAATCCTGAGCGAGTAGTTCCATCTTGTCAATCTGAACAATTTGAACGCAGTTTCCAACCTAATGTTGCTTTGGCACCTCAGTCACAAAAACTGCCCTCAAAGTCAGAGGTATGTTATGAGAAAATAGCCTAATTCTTAGTTTTCAGCTGAATTCTCCTCAATAACAATTTCACAACGCTGCATCGCATTTTACGAGCAATACATGATTCTCCGATTGAAATATTTTCTCAACCTAGAATTGTGTGGATTTTGTAGAAAATGAGACACGTCAGATACGTGGTACAATAAACAAAACTTAAAAGTTCTTCAGTTTGCCGATTTGTTTTAATTTCTCAATCATTGGATCAGGAAGCAGGGAAAATCTAGTACGTTAATACAGCGTTTTACCGCAGACTCCCCATTTTTTCCGGCAAGTTTTTGGTCTCTTTTTCTTCTCTCGCCATCTTGATTCAAAACTGACGATACTTCCGTAAACGGAGTAAGATTATTTCAATTGTAATATTAAGAGAGTGCTAAAAGTGAAGACAATTTTGTATTTGTAGAAATTGAAAGTTTTTAAATTGAAAGCATTTTTCAGTGTTATGATGAAAAAATTGTGTTCATTCCAAGTAATAAAATTTGTATCTTATTATTTTGCTTTCAGACGAACTGTGTCAGTATCACGTCAGTCACCAAAGTTATATCTTCTCCTGTTGCAAAGGATGACAGCACGCAAGACACTCCCTCAGATACTGAAGAATCTACGTCAAAAATTTCCTCAGATTTTGGTGAGTAACAATTTTCCTGAATAATTCTACCAGGGCCGGATTAAGGGGGTGGCCACATGGGCCGCGGCCCATGGCGGCAAAGGGCGGCGGCAAATTTTGCTATTTTTTTTTAATGTAGGAAAAAAAAATAAAATTGTAAACGGGAAAAGGCGACAAAATCTTGCATTTCCTGTGAGTATCGTAATTTCTAATTTTGTCGTTTTGCGGCGATACAAAAAACAGCACCTTTCATTAGTCTAGTTATGTGAGAAACCGAACACAAAATTTGGCCAGAACGATCATTTATGAACATTCTTGGCCGTTTTGGTCTGACATTGGAATCTGAATTTTGTCAGTGACATTTTGTGTCAGAAAGTTGGCTGCCCTCGCATTAGTCTAGTTGAGAGAGAAACCAAGCACGCAATTTGGCCTGGAGCGGCGCGGCGCAGAGAGCAATGATGACGAAGACTTGAGATGAAAATGAGAGGCGCTCGGCGCGGGCATGTAACACATATTAGCGCCTACAAGACTGCATGAATACTTCACGCATAGCGTCAAACACAGTGCGGTCAGCAGCGGTCGCCGTGTAACGCATAGCGCCTACAAGACTGCATGAATACTTCACGCATTGCGTTCAGCAGCGGTCGGTTTGAAAGGCATAGCGCCTACAAGAGTGTAGGAATACTTCACGCATTGCGCCAAACAAAGTGCGATCAGCACGGCGCGGCGGTGGAGGTTAAAATTATTGAACCACGTTTATGATTGTTCTTTCATAATTTTTTCGTTCATTTCTTGTTAATGGAAGGCCCTGTCCACACAGAGACAGGTTTACGGAACTTAACTTTTGCGCCAAGTTCCGTGAAATTTTGCTAGTAGTGTTGACAGGGCTTTCGCAAAAAAATGTGTCCACGACTAAACGGTTTCTTTGCACCCTTCCCCCTCCGGCACGTTTACTTGACGGTTTTTATTGGTGTTTCAAAACGAATAAGATGGGGGCGGCAAAATACAGGCGGCCCATGGGCGGCAAGTTGGTAAATCCGGCCCTGAATTCTACTACTATTAGAAGACTACTATTCCAGAAATATCACGCTAGGGACGCCCAGTGAAAGTATGGCGACAGGGGCGTTTAATATAAAATTAAGGTGTACCAACTCTCTGAAGGGCTGTGGGAGGACAGGACACTGTGGTGGTCAGTTGTCACAGAGTGCCAGAGAGTGTTGTGAAAGCGGCTCTTATACCTAAATTTATGTTCCAAAAGCTTTAGTCCCTGCTTTGTGCTACGGATAACCACCACCACCACCCATTCTTTTCTTCTATATTGACAAACTGCGTTACTTAATTAGCTCTCCTAGGCCGGGAAGCCTCTTCATTTTTTCAGACCCATAAAAGTGAGGTAAGCTGGGATCAGGCTATTTGAAGGGTATATTTTTTCCAATTACAATATATATTAACGAAAATCTCGACACAACAGAGGAGGAAGGGTAAACAAGGCTAAGAGCTCTCTCGCAAGGTACCACTTTTTCAGGGTGAGTTTGGACACATATCAGAAAAAGTACGTATGTCTCCTCATTAGACCTCTAAAGTCTTGTATTAATCTGTGTCTACAACTTCAAATTACCTATATCTTTGATCTTGAGATCAAAAAATGTCCACTAAATTTTAGAAGGAACTGGAAGCTAAAATACATATACTATCATCTCCTTCATTCTTTTTCAGAGTCAGGGGTTTTTTTACCTCTCTTATCTGCAAACCTATGAATCAAAAATTCAAATTATGTCTCTTTTTACTCTTTAGGTAGTGCTTTACATTTTGCACATTTTCGTCATCATTGTTACCAAAGGTGCCCACGTGCTGCTTTTTTCTTCTTCTTTTTGCCTGTTTGGAATTAGATATTTATCTTTATGTTTTTATTTGCTTTTCTTTCAGATTCAAATTGTAGTGCGATAAAACAAGTCACAGCTGTCCTAGATGAATTGAATGATGTCAAAGAAGTCACAAGGCAGCGAGTCATTAGTTTAGTAGAACAGCTTGCAATACGCTTAGATAGAGTTGAAGCTGAGAATAAATTGCTCAAAGAGCAGTTAAGAGCAAAAGTAAGTATATCAACTCATACTCATACTCTGCCTGTGATTACTTATTGATTCTGAAGTCTTAAAAAGTTTAACTGAAGTAATAAAAAGAGCAAATCCTTTGAGGACTGCAGAATTGTCTTCCATGGCAAAAGTTAAGTGTGTTATTATACTTGCTAGATTTACAGAGGAATGAAAGATTTCTTTGACATGTTAAGACCTATTCTGCTGGTTTTGCAGAAATAGGAATTGCACGTTATAGTGGAGAGAAGCGATAAAATGTTCGACTGGTGTGCAATAAAGATGCGTTTACAGTTACAAAAATAGATGTGATGGAAAGAAGAAGGGAAAGTTTTTATGAACTTATGAACATGAACCAAGAAATATGGTTACTTGAACCAGATAGTATAGCCTAGCCAGCATAGAACTCTGCAGAATTTTTTAGTTTTCCTTGCAGGGCCCTCCTGCACAGAGTCTACGACTTTTTGGGGAAAAATCTACGACCAATTTTGGCAAAAAAAAAATTACGTGGGTAGGAAGCATTCAATTTTTTCCAAATAGTAAACACATCTGGTAATTGGCAACAATTAGCGGCAATTAGCAAGGAAATGTACAAAAAAATCAGTGTTCAAATTAAAAAGTATGTCCTTTTCTACAAATTAATGTCAGTAGACACTCTATGCTACCAGTATTAACATTTTTTATTTTTTTTTTGTACTTTTTTTCTGCCTCAGGCTTTTGAAGCGGATGCTTTTCCAAAAGTAGTTTTAATGGAAGAAAAGAAGGAAAAGCCACCTTCGCCATCGGAGGAGAAAGAAAACCGGTGTAATTCCTCTGAAGTAGTGGAGGAGAATGGAAAAGTTAGTTCACCCGACTCCGACTCAGGGAAGTTGAGGAGTAGTCCGGTCTCTGTCATCACTTCGTCTCCTACCCCAGTCACTTCACCTCAAATCCCAATAAAAACGGAGCCCAAGTGGTGATTGTTATCCTCTCGGAGTGAAACTCCAACCTTCGTAGGAGTCTGACTCCTATAAGTCCCATCGTACTCAGGATCGCGTCTCTAGACGTAACCAACTCATCTGTGTCCGTTTCCAGTCATCACTTGGAAACCTCCGCATGTTAGACTCTTGTTTTTAATGTGCATTCGAGACGAAAAAAAGTTATAAATAAATTATGTGTTGCAGGTATGCATGGATTTATATTTTCGGTCATGATAACAGTTCTGTTGAAAATGTATATCATCATATTTTTCATGCAAGGAATCTGAATTCCACCAGGCGAAGGGAGCATTTGCAGATTACAAGAAATTAGCTGTTATCTTGAATTTTTTTCAAGTGTCTATGGTTTTCTACAATTTTTTTCATCTGGAATATTTGAAAATGTTTTGAATATCAACTGACAGGTCATATGTACCTATACTCTGATTTTTCCTTTTGTTCCTTTCTTTCAGATAATTCTAAATTCTTTTCTTGCATATTCCTCAGAGAGACAAAAGTAATTAGTCTCACGATCACAGCAATCTTTAATATTTATTAAACCCTGAAGAATGCAATAATTACCAACATTTTCATGTGCCAGATACGTCTTCTAGCATTTATTAATGACTCACATTAAAAAAATGCCCCTGGGACCTGTAAAATGCTAAAAATTTCAAAAATTAGGTACTCGGCAAATTCATCAGATAATTTTTATCAGTACATTTAACGCAACTGATGTGTCCTTTATTTTTATTTTTACTCAGTTTAGTGTTCAGCATTGAACCAAGCGCTGAGTGTTTAATGTGAAAATAATAATAAGCCTGTTAAAATTGGGTGAGAATTATTTTTATTACGATCCATTAATCTCCTGTTGGCAGTGCAAGAATGAAAGAAAACCTATCTATCAAGATGAAATTAATTCAAGAATCCCTTTTATTGCTCACCTCTTTACTTCCTCGAAAAATATGATCCGAAATATTATATGAATTCATTGTCATTCCAATTTAAGTTAGCTGTAGGTGAGTTAGTAGGTATGTAGCACTTTAAATTTGTATAATACCCTTTTCACAATGCAGTCGCTTCTATAGGTATCAAAAATCTCATCAACATTGTATATGCCCTCTGCAGAGTTGTACGTAATTTAAAGCCACAGAATCAAAATTCGTCAAGTTCAAATTCTGTAGCACAGATTTTATGGGCACTCAAAAATAAGTAGATTGCAGAATAGTGCATGGTTTTTAAGCGTACAGTTTACAATTACAGTTTCAGTCAATAATCAATTGTATTTCAATTTATACCTGATGACGATGCAATAATAAACTTGTAGGTAACTTTAGTCAATCCTCAGCACAAACACTGGCCATAAAAAGTCTGTATTTTTAAGAACTGTGATCTGTTGATGTTAGATTTTTTCATTTGAATTTGCTCTTCACGCGAAGAATTCCATGCAAAATTGTAACCCCCTTGTCGCTTGTCGGTAGTTTTGTTGAGAATTGACTTACGTTGCCTTCACCAGGTATGAATAGTATTTGCTACTAACTCGGAACATAGAGCCGACAACTTTGAATTCATTTGGAACACAGGTTATCAAGATGGAAAAAAATCCCATCGCGTTTGTGCCATTTATTGGAGAGACTTGACTGTTTCAAAGTGTAATTCTAATCGTACAATCAAAACCGAACCTGCTCTTAGACCAACAAAAACTCATGTGTAACCACCAATCGCGTTTTTATGCCATATTTCATTGACGTTTTGGTTGAATTCTTTATTTATAACTTCTTTATGATCTCCTCTTTTTTCTCAGTTATCTCTTGTTCTCTTACTCGACCTGCAGTTGTTTGAATCTTCGAATTCAATGTGTTGGTACATATTCTTTCTAGGGGACTTCTTTTAATTTAGATTCTTTCAATTATTTTATAAATGCCAAAGTTAAATTTAGTTATTTGCCCTGAATTCCATATTTTTATTTATTTTTTATCTCATTGACTAATCCTTGTAAATACCTTCATGAATTTTTAGTCCTTTTTTTCAAATTTTGCAATTTTTATCTTTATTGTTTCATTTGAATTATGTTTTGTCTGTTCATTATTGCAATTTTTGTCTCTTTGTACTTTAAAAGAGTTCGGAAATTTGTAAGTTTTAAGAAAATGAATGTCGCTAAAAGTTTTTACCTAACTCCTATCTTCACAAAATCATCTCTTGTCGTTGCGAATGGCTAAATCATTTTATAGTTTGCTGACTTCAGCCACTTGGTGAATCCTCGGTGTAATGTCCTTTTAATTTTTTTAATTATATATTTATTCATTTTTTTTAATACTCCTACTTGTTCAACAAAGCATGTACTTAACACTTGTACTCCGAGAAGAGCATGAAAGTGTAAAAGAAAACCATGATTGAAAATTATTGACGATAAAAGAAATGAATAGAAATACTTTCTACTCACTAAATTTCTGAAAAGTTGTTCAATGACATTCAGTTATCTCATGCAATGAGGAAGGGGTGATACAGAAAAAATTATAACCAATCTCTCTCTCCTGTATGCGTTAGATTTTTAGACCGAGGAACTTGCTTAAGAAAGACGATTTCAGTGATTTTAAAATTAGCAATGAGTTTGAGATTTTTTTTCCCTGTTTATTCTAGCATTCAGTTTCTTTTAAATATTCGTTTTTGCTTGCACTTTCGATGGTAACTTTTCTGGAGATTTCAACATTAACTTCTAATTTATAAAGAACCTACAATTTCGCTCTATCATCCTATTTCTCTAACGACAATCATAAACTTCAAATTTCCCAACATTAGCTTTTTCAAGCTGTCTTGTTCTTGAAACGATAGTAGGTATATTAAGCACATAGTGTATAGCTACTAAGTCTTGCAACTAAAAATTCAAATATAATGAAACACTCTAATTTGATGAGGGAAAAGATCTGACATGATTTTTTGAATAGTTAGAGCTCAAAATAATTCTTGACAACTGAATAAAAGACAGCTTCATGCCAAAGTCATGAAAATTGGAATGAATTCATGAAAACTTTTTGATTGATCAGAGATGATTCTTCCCTCTGCCTCAAAAAATGTGATCTCCTCTTTTTTCATTGAGAAATTAATCAAACAAATTCTTAAAACCTCAATCATCTAGTGTTCATTAGAATTTTAACATCATAGTTATGCTTCATCATGCCTTTTTATACATAGTCCAAACCTTCATGTTTGTGTCATCATTAGCATTCAATAATGGAGCCATTTTTTTTTTTTTTTTAAATTTTCAAATTTAAGGTAAAGTGTCTATGTGTAAATCTCAGAATGTAAAGTTGAATGGAAAGTCTTCGTTTTAGAAGTCTTTGGAAAGCTCTTGAATGCATCTCTTAGGAGGTATAGTTTGTTCTAGGTGTCCACGCGTAAATAAGATCAATCGAATAACATTGATTCAAAACTTTGGGCTGCTGAAAAATCCTTTTTTTACGTTGCTTGAAATTGCATCATGTGTAATGCTGTTAAATGTTGATACTGCATCACGTATTTCTTGCTAATTTAAGTGCACCCTGATCTAGACAACCCACCATTCTATTATATTCAAACCAAGTAAGGCTGATTGATTTGCATGCTGCCTGCATTTAAAAGATAATTGAAAAAGAAATGAAGAGAAACAAGTATGTCATTTCCTTTCATAACTTTTTTCTAATGACGCGGTTAACGGCTGTTGACAGTATCGTATTTGTAACGTTTTAAAAAGTCAATGTTCTAATGAAAGCTTCTAATTTCCAATGAACATGATGATACGAAAAAAAAGAAAAAAAAAAAAGAAAAAAAAAAAGAAAAAAAAATGAGATTTCCTCACATTTCTGTCAGTAATATCAAGCTCTAAAACAAGGATGTACTGTGCAATGATAGACAAAGAAGAAGAAGAAGAAAAAGAAAAATAGCGATCTGCCCTTCCAAGCAAAAGTCTCTCGAATAAAATAAATAATGTGATCTTTAGAGAACCCTTGATGATAATCTAGTTTCATTATTAAATGACGAACTAAAATGGGCCGACTCCATTAAGTATTCTCAGGCAGCATAAGAAAAAGTAGACAAATGTGAAAATGAAATTAAATGGAGTAGAATTTAGTTTCAAACACTTTCTACTTAATTTTCATTTTTCTTTTCCTTTTTTTCATGTTAAATTTTATATACGAATTAATTTTAAGGCGCATCCTTGATTAACTACAATTTTTTCACTTCTTTCATATTTTTCTTCTTCCCCCCCCCTTTTTTTAAGAAATAAAAAATGAAAAAAATAATGAATGTAGAACTGTATTTACATATTGTGAGCAATAATATCAAATTACTGGTCACAGCTGAGCCAATCTGCTGTTGGGAGTGTGTTTAATTAGTGAGCAATGCCTGTTGAGTTTTCTCTCATTTTTTGTATTCCAGAGTATCTCTCTCTTTCTCTCTCTGTCCCTCTCCTTCTATCTTTCAGAATTGCATAGTTTTCATTTCGTAATTTAGAAAGAAAACAAAATGATAGCTTTGATTTCTTTCAGTGTTCAATTTTTATCTCAAATTAAGCCAGTGATTCTCAAACTTTAACTTCCGGTGCTCTTACCAATCCTCCCAAAAGTAGGTAAGATAAATGGGAATTGCAATTATTAATATCATGTTCAATATCGACGGTGAAACTACCAAACCACGTATCTCGTTTGCGGTGTTTAAAAATCTACGCTCACATTTTATTGTTTTGAAGTAGACCAAATCAATATCATTCCTTGAAATTTTCACGGAATTTTCTTCGCACAAAGAGGAAAAATCACAGAAATTTTCAAGACTGGATGTTAAGTAGTTTTTCATTTAAAAAATAAAGTATGACAGGAAGTCTGCGACGTCGCAAACCGAGATACGTGGTTTGGTAGTTTCACCGTCGATATGTACTTTACAGAAAAATGCTTAAATTTGTTGCATTAAGTAATTAAACTCCAACATTACTTCAGGTGGAAGTCTTAGAAAGTTAGTCATTCATCAGAGATAATTATTTGTATTCAAATCTAATACTAGCAGTCACCTAAAATTTTACTGTGTATTCTAAAAAGTCAATATCCTAAAAAAAAAAGTATTGTATTGTAAAGTAAAGTAAAGTCTTGATCAGTAATTTATATTACAAGTTTGATCAACTTTGGCGGGAAAAATTACCTTGCACCCTTAAATTGTAACTACTTTTTTATGCAAAATTTCAGCTAGATAAAACACTTTTGATGTATAAGGCAATGAAAGAATGCTTCCTCCAAAAAGGAAATTGTCATCAGCTTCTTCTTTTTTAATTTAAAATCTAGGAAATTTTCAAATATTCTATTGTTATAATGAATACTCATGAACTTTGCAATCGCTGATGTCTGTATGAGAGGAGAGGATATTGAGCTAGCAAGGAGGGCACTGATCAGTCGTCACAGATGGTGTTCCGCCATGTGACTGAAGATTTCAGTTCATTCAGCTGAACGCCAAAATTATTCAGATCAAAGAAAATTTACTTTATTAAAAGCCTGCCAAGTTTGAGGTTGTATAGAATGTTCAAAAATTGAGAGATTTCATTTTATAACTGGCCAGAGCTCATGTTAAGAACTCGCAGAACAATAAAGCCTCTAAGGTTTAATTAGAACTATTGGATTTACGAACTTGTTCCTCTGAAGAGCTTACTTTTCAAAATAGAAGAAATCGACCTCCATTTTGCAGTTTCAAATTGAAACTTGGGTGGGAAAGAGCCCTGTTAGTGGTTTGTCCTTTTCTCAGGCTATGTGGATTTATATCAGATGAAACACAAGACAAATGGACTACATTTTGCAATTAGGAACTATAAATTCTAGCCCGGTTTAAAAACAACGTATGTGCTATTAGTTTCCCTATGCACACAAGTGTTTTTTCAGATGAGCCAGAATTTATAGTTCCAAATTGCAAAATGCAGTCCAAATATTATTACACGAGATGAGACAAAATTTTAGCTCAAGGATACTTATGATTCTCAAGATGATGATCTTATGATTCTCAAGATGATGATCTTATGATTCTCAAGATGATGATCTTATGATTCTCGGGATGAGACGAGTTTGTAATCTTAACAGAGCGACCTTGCTGAAAATAAAATTATGCAGGATCTAGTACAGCATGATTAACACCAGGACGCAGGATGTAGGAAAAAACAATGGGATTTAAAACTGGGAGAGCAACGTTGCAGGTAGAGTAGATTTACTGGTAGTTCTCTTGCATTCCTTCCTCGTTTTTCAGAAATGTTTTTTTGCTGAATCTTAGCTGAGAGTTTTTTGGTGTCCAATACTTTAATTTTACATGGCATTTGATTCTCATCCACATAATTGGTAAAAGGGCAGATAAAAGTCACCTTTTAACTGGGCTCTTGTAATAATTGATTGTGTTATAAACACGAAAATTGTTTTTAGGTATCTGTTCTAATATTACACCGTGTCATATTTGTAGCCATTTTGTAAATAAATTGTATTAACCCTCCTAAAAATATTTAAATTGGATATTTCTGTCAATGTGAATAATAGACTTACCTTTAAATGTAGGGATCACCTTTACCATCGTATGTGTTTGTGTATGTTCAAAATGTCTGCGACATCAATTGTTTTTGGACTGTTTTTTGTAAAAATCTGTATTTAGTTTAAATTTTTTGTGGATGTAGGTATCCATGAAGAATATTTTTTTGTGTTTAAACAGCGCATTAAGAAAAAAAATGAAGCTATATTTATACTTCTGAACAAAATTGAAACTTATCCAAAAAAATTGATAATTAAGATTTATTAGAAACACCAGACAATAATTATTTGCGAAATTGCGTTATTTTAATACACTATTGAAGCCCTGAAAAATTTCTCACATTGAGAAGGCGAATGTTGGCGATTTTTGGCGTGCAGTATATCCGATGTTTGCAGTTATACCTACTACATGTAATATTTGACTACTCCATTAAGAATCATTTTCTGGAATTACTATAACGATAGTGGCAGCTAAAAAAATTGCTTTTGAGTTTTTAGCAGTTATTAATAAACCTACTATCTAACTTGATGACCGATTTATCATCAATTTGATGTAAAATCGAAAATTATCAGAAGACAATCCAAAATCAATTTTTTCGCTTTTAATCTAATGTTTCATGATGCAATGGGTTGCAGAGCAGATGATTTTGTATTCTCAGATTTAGCTAACCATATTGTTGACTTCTCATTATCCTTATCATGCTTCAACTGTAGACACTGTTAATTACTTACGTTCTCTGTAAAGAATTTGTACTTGTTTTATGGAGCCATTGAAAAAATGTTCAACTGCTTCAATGCTTATTTGTCAGGAAGTGCAGTTTTAAAGAAGATCCATCCGACTTATGCAATATATTCTTGTCAATTAAGGCTTACCCATCAAAAAACTGTCTGCCTTAAACTGCTCGTGTTCTCATCACTGACCTGCCTTTTTTGTGAGCGCCTTTAATAAAATCTTGATTATGCTGATTATTACCTAAAAATTTGAAGATGCAGCTGTAAATGTAAATTACTAAAATTGCACTCATGACAGTAATAACATCGGATTTTCTACCGAGCTACAATCACTGTCTTTAGTCTTTTTCCATCTCTTAATTCCTTTGAGCCTTGCATGTAAAAATCTCAGATGACCCTTATAAACTTCATTGTACATCGGTTATTTTTACATCTGGAGCTTCTTGTGCATATATAAACACATACTCTCATTAAATGCATGTTCATTAGAGTAGTCTCTTTTTTTACCGTGACTCATTTCATGATTATATATGTTTTCTTTCCCACATTTTGTCAGCGATCTCATGTACAAAGCTTTTACATCCTCTTTCTTTTATCTCTATTATTATTTGTTTTTTTCATTGGTGCTAATTTATAACTGTTGTAATATATTCACACAGGCATGTGTTGGCGTTTCATTTTTCAACTGTCTGCTTGTAGCACCCTGCACTTGCAGATTTCATGGATGAAGTATTTAAGTAACCTCATCTTGTATTTTTCAAGTGAACTTAAAAGGTACCTATTATTTTCAGTCTTCTCAAACGTTTTCATGCAGTTCTCAATTCCATTCTGGAGAATCAGTCTTTTTGCTTCTTTTTCCCAACAGTTACACACAGTTCACTGTTTCACACTACAAAATAAATAAATTGATCAATAAGTGAGGCTGAATAACAGACGCAAACATGTTCTAGTCTTGTCCAAGAAGCATCTACCTGGATACCTAGTTTACATTTTTAAAATTGGTAATCCATTGACCGCATGTCGGATCATTTTTGCATCAAGACTTTCGTTCTCAGCATGAAAACTTTAGAGGAGCTTTAAATTTTAACATTATTTTGTACTAAGATTGTAAACCAACTGAGTTAAATCAGTTCGGTCGAAATAATTGAGGACACCGCACCAAGAACAGCCTATAGGCGTATAGGTCGTTATTACGCCCATCTGCTTTTCGGATTCTATGTACCCCGGACTATGCTGTGGTAGCGATAGAATATAGATAGGTAACGGCTCGAGGTCGAAAAACCTTTTTTTCCCGAGTTAAGTCAGACCTCTGGATCGATGGGTGCAAGAACGACCTATAAACTGGCCCATAAACTTAAGGGCCTATATGGTGCTAGTCACCCTTTTCTTTACTCACTATCGATATTCTTTCATTTTGCGTTAATCATGCGTGATTAAAATGATTTATACTTCATATTGCCACCAAAATGACTGTTGGGCGTAATAATGACCTATAAACCGCTTTTTTAAATTAAATACATTAGAGTGTAAACCCAAAATGTATCGCAAAATCTACCCGGCATCCTTCAATAGAAGGGTTAGGTCACCCAAAAACACCAAAACAGGGTACCTGCATAGAAAAGTCTGCGCAGTACATCAAAAACAAAACTTCAAGTACGTTTTTCTCAAAACGCGGTTTCCAATTATAGGCTGTTCTTGGTGCGGTGTCCTCAATTGATCTTGCATAAGATATCAACAGTTTCTCTTAAAAATTTGACCCAGTCTGTCCCTTTATTTTACAAAAGAAAAGATTTTAAATATGCTATTAAAAATGTAATTGAACTTATT